TCCCCCTCCCTCAGCTCCCCCTCAGCCTCTCCTCTCCCTGGGCCTTAGCCTTCTCTCCTCCAAGGTAACTGTTGGTTTCTCGCGGCCGCCGCCTCCCTCACGCTGCACCCCCGACTCTTGCACCGAGTGGTGCCCCCTGAACAGGGTTTCCGAGAAAACTATGCCGGCGTCTTCCACTTCCAGGTAAAGCTCGGTTCCTCTGCTCATGCCTCAGTTTCTCCAGGTGACATGGTTTCATAGTTGACGTTGTTTCTTTGGGGCTGGAATTTTGGACAGGTACAGCAAGGTCAGGGGTCAGCGCTGGGCCCAGACGGGTGGGGGTTGGAAGCTGAGCCAGGCCCTGTCCCTTCCCCACCAGCTCTGGCAGTTCGGCTGCTGGGTGGACGTCGTGGTGGATGACAGGCTGCCGGTGCGTGAGGGGAAGCTGATGTTTGTGCGCTCAGAACAGCGGAATGAGTTCTGGGCCCCCCTTCTGGAAAAGGCCTATGCTAAGTAAGGACCCCCCTACTTGCCCCGGCTGCAACCCTACATCCCAGCCAGCAGACCCCGGCCTCATGACAGCCCCCAGAGCCCCTCCACTTCTGGGATCTTCTAGATGCCTTGCTAAGGGTTCCAGACCGAGTCACAGCCCCCGAGACCCTAATGCATACCACCCCCTGAAGCCCTCCAAATGGCAAACTCCTTCCTCCACCAACAGGTCACACAGGACATTCTTAGAGACCCACCACCACCAGAATCGTATAGGTCCCTTGGGAGACCTGTAATCTCAGACAGTCTCTCCTGGTCCACTGAGAAACCCAAAGCACTCCCCAAATATTGGGTGGAAGACCTGGGACCCTCGACTCTTTGCTTTTCCCCATCCTGTGGATCTGAAATCCCTGACAAGCCCCGTGGGGATTACCCCAAAGGGAGACATCAACCTCCCAGAGACCCCAGGTTTCAGGCAGCCCCCAGGGTGCCCAGAATTCTGCCTGAGCTCTCCTGACACCCCCAAATCACTCAGTCCTGGTGGCCCAAGCACCAAGGCTTCTAGGTATGTCACAGTCCCCACCTCAAGAGTTTGCAAATTTTCGGAATAGCCCCTGGGACCCCACACCCTGGGACAGAGTGCCCACATCCCAAGATGCTCGCACATGCCTCAGGCACCCCCATGCCAGACCTGCTCCCACAGGCTCCACGGCTCCTATGAGGTGATGCGAGGCGGCCACATGAATGAGGCTTTCGTGGACTTCACAGGTGGCGTGGGCGAGGTGATCTACCTGAGACAAGACACCCCAGGCCTCTTCTCGGCCCTGCGCCACGCCCTGGCCAAGGAGTCCCTCGTGGGTGCCACTGCCCTGGTGAGAGTCAGACTCCCATGGAGACCCCACCAGGACCAGTGTGGAGGGGGGGGGCATTCCATGCCCTCCTCTCTTTCACTGGTGGCTTATGCTCTTTCACAAATCAAACATGGGCAAGTTGAAAGGATATTTATTTGCTCTCATAATGAATGAGCTTCAGGCACAGCTGGATCCAGGTGCTTAGCAGATATTGTGAATGTGTTTTCTATTCCTGGTTCTACTTCTGGGTTAGCTTCACTCTCAGCCAGGCTTTCCCTTCATGGGCCCCAAAAAAGCTCCCACAGTTACCTCCCACCGCCCCAGAGCTGAGAAGGAAAAGTACCTCTTCTGAGAACCTCGGCAGAAGTCCAAGATAGATATTCATGGGCTCAGCTTGGGTCACATGTTCATCTGTGACCCAATTACATGCTCATTCATTCACTGAGTCAGTCTAACTCAGTGATGGCGAACCTTTTGAGCTCGGCGTGTCAGCATTTTGAAAAACCCTAACTTAACTCTGGTGCCGTGTCACATATAGAAATTTTTTGATATTTACAACCATAGTAAAGCAAAGACTTATATTTTTGATATTTATTTTATATATTTAAATGCCATTTAAAAAAGAAAAATCAACCAAAAAAATGAGTTCGTGTGTCACCTCTGACACGCGTGTCATAGGTTCACCATCACTGGTCTAACTCATTCACTCATCCATTTACTTAACCCTGTTCTCTCTCAGTTGCCCACTTGCTCTGTCTTATGTTTCTCTGCCTCCTTCTGTCTCCCTGTCTATTCTTTATCTTTCTTTGTCTCTAGGCCACTGTCTCTCTCCTCTTCCATCTGTGTTGTCTCTTGTCTCCATCTCGCTCTCTCTGCTTCCTCGCTCCCCTTCACTCACCAACTCCCGCCTCCCCTCGGAGCCCTGTGTCATTCAGCTGGGTGCTCTGAGAGGAGCACTCCCCAGTCCCCGGCTGCAGCCCCGAGTCCCAGCCACATACCCGAGACCCTCTGATGGGACAAGGAGCAGAGGAGGCACAGATGAGAGGGAGGGTCCTGACCCTCAGTGTGGCCTCACCGTCCTATCCTCTGCCCAGAGTAATCAGGGCGAGTACCGCACAGAAGATGGGCTGGTGAAGGGACACGCATATTCAGTCACGGGCACGCACAAGGTGAGCAACCCCATGGGGGGCTGGCAGAGGGTGTCCAGGCACCCACAGGCCGGTCAGGCAGTGACGCTGTTCCCCTCAGATGTCACTGGGCTTCACCAAGGTGCGGCTGCTGCGGCTACGGAACCCATGGGGCCGTGTGGAGTGGACCGGGCCCTGGAGCGACAGGTGGGATGGATCTGGGGTGGTGGGAGGGCTTGGCCCCACCTGCCTATCCCTCACACCCTGGTCTCCCCAGCTGCCCACGCTGGGACGTGCTGCCCCCGGAGTGGCGAGATGCCCTGCTGGTGAGGAAGGAGGACGGTGAGTTTTGGTGAGTAGGAGAGGCCCTGGCAGGGCGCAGGGAGGGGCCAGTCCTGCTTGAAGGGTCCTGGCAGAGGTTCACGGGGAGGGGTCATAAAGGGAGACACTGTCCATGTGAGTGGTGATTTGGGGACGAGCTTCAAGCTGGGGGAGAGAGGACGATTCGTAGTAACATTAGGGAGCCTGGGAGGCATAGTAACCTCTGGGAGGTTGAGGGGGAGAGAGAATATTCAGAGCAACTGAGGGGTCTTGGTGACGCCTGGGCATTTCTTGAGATTTGGCAACACTGAGGGGCTGAAGGACATCTGCTGGTAATTGAGAGGCTGAGGGTCTTGATATTTGTGGGCCGAAAACAATTGGACAATCTTTGAGGGGAGTTGGTGATCTTGGCTATTCGTGGGGCATTTCTGAGGACTCAGAGAAATCTGGGGGAGCTGGGGGGCTCAGGGATTTGGGGGTCATTCTGGAAACATACTGGTTGGTCATCTGCAAGGTACTTGGCAATACTTGAGGAGTCTGGGCGCCGTGTGACCTGGGGGTGGGCAGGTGTGACTTCCGGCCGCTTTCTAGGATGGAGCTGCAGGACTTCCTCCGCCACTTCAACACCGTCCAGATCTGCTCGCTGAGCCCGGAGGTGCTGGGCCCGCGCCCGGCGGGAGGCGGCTGGCACACCCACA